ATATATATATATATATATATATATATATATATAATGGTCAATGGTCACATTTTCTTTGGTTTGTTCTTTAATATGTTAGTAGCAGCAGCAGCCGCTTGAACTTGCGTTATTTGTTACCTCCCTTTGATAGTTTGTTTTTTTTTTTACATCACGAACTAGTAACAAAATTTATCAAAACAATTTTGGTTTGCTTTTGAATATTTACTGTACGATGGGAAAATTTTCCATGTGAAAGTGGGCGATGGCGTTTTATTTTTACTTTTTTTAATATAATTTTTACATTTTCGAGTTTTTTTCGTACAGGGGTAAAATTATAACGTTTCTATTATGTCCTTTGACCTCACAGGCTACTGATCGTAAATGTTATTCTCATTGTTTTAAGTAAAAGGTAAGAATTATTTTTAGAAAATCCAATTAATTAATCCTTAAATTTACTAGTAGAATTCGAAATTGTGTAATTAAAGTTTTAAAGAGAATTTTAAATTTGCCGTTTACATATTTCGTATACAATGGCGGCTTGATGAGTCCATGAGTGACGAAAAAATGTCACAAATGTTTAAAAATGTCTAGAATGTTTACTTATATACGGATTTTTATTTTAATTCGGATTAGCTTTAAGGTAGAGTTCACCACAAAAACGCGATACATAAGATTTAAAATTCTTTTTTTAAAGAGAAAAATATTTCTTTAATTTTCATTTCAAGCTAATAGACTAAATTTAATATTTCCGTTAAGTAAATACTTTGCTGTATGTCAAAACTAATTTAAATTGACTGGAAATAATTTTCCTTTTTTTCTTTTTTGTTTTGCTAAAATAACTGATTAGCGCTTTTTTTATTATTCGTCTTTCATCGCAATATAATTGTCTTTATTAAAAAAATCTTCCAAAAATAAAATATACTATAAGGAATTAGAGGATTTAAAGTATAATTAATCTGAATGGAAACAAATATTTAATTTAAGTTTAAAATATCGTAATAATACATTTTTTTAACTCGACATTAGCTGTGTTTTTAACCGACAGTAGCTGTATAGAGTTATGGGACAAGATGATGACAGATCTAATGTTGTTCGACAGAGACCTTATCTGTAAAACATAATTGAAGAAAATGATGTGAGCGTCATTTTATTTCACTTTTAAGTACTCACTAATCTTGAAAATTTATGAAGATTTTCTCCGTAATCTAATGTTTTATTGGATTTTAGAAATTTTAGCTTTAAATTTACTATATAGTGCTATGCGTAAATTGTCCCCATTTTATATTTTTAATTTCGCGCATGCGCGTTGTTCGTTTTTGATTTTGTCGACAGCACAGTATAGTAGGGTCAGTTGGCCACCGTCTGTGAGAAAAAAAGGCACCATGACGCAATTCACACCGCCAGAAATTTGGAAACACCTTCTGTGCTGCTTGGCAGTTGCACCGAAAGTTCCAATACGAACATTTCAGATTGTTTGGATATCAAACTGAGGACAGTGCAGAGGATTTGGAAAGAGTTGGATGAGTCTAATGGTGATTAAAAAGGTGATTAGAGTCACTACTAGTGATGGAGACGTTATGCCTCCATTTATTAGACAAGTGGGTTGCTGTCCGAAGACTATATGTCTAATAACAGAACACTGCACGATGCTACACAAGCAGGAGAACCCAATCATGGCTGTCGGACAATTTCTGCGACCACATCACCCCTTATATCTGACCACCCAACTCCCCAGACTGCAGCTCCCCTTGATTATGATGTGTGGGGCGCAGTTGAGCGAGAGACCAACAAAATTCCTTGTAACACCAAAAATGAACTGAAGACAAGAATTATGGCAGCAATCACCAACTTAAACAAGGGGACTTTCTAGAAGAGTTGCAGGAGATTACGAAGTCGTCTGTTGGCCGTGGTTGAAGCCAATGGCGATTTTATTGAATAAATGTACTCTTTACAATTTCAAGATATGTTTGTGTAATTTTGGTAAATATAAGTGTTGAAATGAAATGTCAGTGTTATTTTTATTTTTATTTTTGCGTTATTTAGACGGTAATTTATTCATCGCACCCTGAAGTCATCGCTCATCTTTTCTGATAATGGCCGCCTATACTTACAAAAAATGGCACGTTTATACACGAATAAAACATTCAAAATGATTTTTAAAATATTTTTGTTTGATGATTTGTAGTTTACTTTTCCATCACTTCATAACAGAAAAAAATTAAATATTTAAAGCTGAATAATTTTTTCTCATGAAAATTTTCAAAAAATGAAAACAATTCGTCGAAAAAAATGTTCTTAAGAAAATGTGTTCTGTAGGAATGTTATTATTATTATTATAAATAAATAAAAATAAAATACAAAATAATAATAATAATAATAATGAAAATTATAAATGAAATAAAATAAATCAATAGCATAAAAACGTTGTATAAAATAAATTAAATAAAAATTAAAAATAATAAAAATACTCCCAACATTCAACAATCCTGTCGTAAATACGGAGATCCTGCCAAAAGATGTTAAATGCAATCTCTTCGCCAAGAACTTTGGTACGGGCAACAAGTGTGTAACTTTTCTTTATGATATGACTTGTACGGAATAAATTCTCCCTTTCATCACATGTACCATAAAAGAATTTAAACTAAAAAATACATACAACAATACACACAAAAATATAAATAAATTGTATGAGATTGATATACAATTTACCATGCTTTTCCTGTTATTTTTGTACGTTTTATTTCCTGCCAAGTATCCTTTTATCTCCGTGAACACAAGGCTAATTTCTGCTGCTATAATGTGAGGGAATAATCTGCAATATGGCCTTAATATATCTTATATTTAAAAGCAATTAAAAGTTTTTCTAATAAAATAATATCATAGATTTATTGCATCTTTAATTTACGATTCAGAGGAGATTTTCAGATAATGGTTTTCTGTTTGACAAAGACAAATTGTTGACTTAAATTCTCCAAGTCCTGATATAAATACGAAGACCCTGGAATTTTAATTTCTCGAAATTTCATAAAATTAATTAAGTGCAAGTAAGAGATGTAAAAAAATATATATTTTTACTAAGATTTTCTTTAAAAAATTATTTCAAAAATAATTTCAATCATTTGTGAATAAGTTCTGAAAATTTCATTAAAATTTGACAATTATTTGGTTTTTGCAAGAATTTCCAAAATAATGTGTTCTTAACGCCAAAAAACGGTAAATTTTCCATACTAATATTTGGACCACACGCTGACGCAAGAAAACAAGATTTTAAGCAAAATTTCGACGGTGCTAAAAAGGATTAAAAAGTTTTGTTTTTTTTAAATTTTGTGATATCAACGAACACACGTCGACACTTTTGTGATGTCAAGGAATACTCGTTGTCACTTTCGTAACGCTCGTTGTAGTAGAGACTTTGTAATCGCTGATACATCTATAGCAACTCCGTTGAAAAGATACTTGTGCCAGACGCCAGACGCCTTCGAATAACACTCACACTAATAGTACTTGCTCGATAATACTCACTCGAAAAGTAACTACCGAATAGTAATCCGTATAGTGATCGGTATAGAGAAATATTATAGTGAATAGTATAGAGGATAGAGAGCCGTAGAGCAATAGAGGATAGAATAGAACTGGTGATCAATTCGACGTCACGCTATATATATATATATATATATATATATATATATATATATAATATATATATATATATATATATATATATATATATATATATATATATATATATATATATCTTTTACTATCATTTTTTTAATATACTTATTCAAAATGGAATCACCTGTGTTTGCTTACTGGTGATCTGTGTTCAAGCTCCAGTGTCGGCAGTGACACTTTATTCCTATATAACAAAAAGCTTAATAAAATAATCAAAAATACTTTGGTTTTTCCTCTTAATAATAGCATAGACATCTTGACGATAAAAGGTTGTTTTTATCAAGTTTCGACCCTTTTTCATCATGGTATGCTCTTTTTCTGAAAATTTTCTGTCCGCCATTATCTTTCAAATAGAATCGAAATACAAAGAAGGCAGTTAGATTATTTAAAATACGTTTTTCAATTATTTTTTTGTTCTTTTAGAAAGTCCATGTCGGTACCTATATTTTAGCGAATCTTTAGAGGTACCTAAAATAACTATCACATGGAGTCTGTCATTTTTACAAAAACGTCTCTGGGGGTCGCCATACGCATACCCTTCCTTGCAGACAACTCAAAAGGAAACAGTTGAAACTCAATATAAATAACTATTTATTTTTTTATTTATGTTTTTTTCTCTTTTTCTTTTTCATAGTAAACTTCCTCGCGCTTTTGAATAATGCTCCGTCTCCGTTCGTTCTTAAAAGTAACTGTTAACCTAAAAACGCCACAATCAACTTATATGCGCGCGCATGCGTATGTATGTATAGAAATCTTCGGCGCCATCAGTCGGAGTTCAAAAACGAACGAACATCACTTTTCAAATTCATTTGGAAGCAAGACATTCTTACACAAATTTGCTGGACTTAGCGAAGTAAATATCAATAACACCACACACATCCTTTTTTTACAATCTCCATACATATTTATCTAATGGCTTAGCTGCCCTGTGCATCTCAGAGTGTCTATGTGGCGACGGTTTTTATTCACTTGAAGCTAAACCAAGTTCACCGTTTGCGCATGTCTGTTCGAGTGTGTGTTAATTTGATTCTACCACCAACATATGCGAACTGGCAGACAGACTGAAAGAAGATGATAAGAAGAGACTCAAATAAAAGAAGAAAAAAAAAGGAAAAAAAAATGGATAGAAAGAAAAGAGCGACGGGGTAAGCAAGTGAGCGTACCCACGTCGCAATGACCTTCCTCACCCCCGGTGATCATACGAATCACTTTTCTTGGCCCAGCGTTGCCGTCTGACCCCAACCGAACTTTTCTCCTTGCCGACTGCCTCAGTAAGCACCAGAGACCCACGCAACTCTTGTATCGATTCGGACTTGGATCAAAGGGAAAATGCATTAAAATCAAATATGAGGTTTGTGGCATTATATCGATCCACAACTTGCCGGCGAGGAAAATTTCTGCTACCACCACACACCGTCACAACCATTAAGCTACCACCCGAACCCCCTACCAGCAACCATCTCTATTTTCATGTCTATCTTCTTTTCAACAATGGTCTTTTTTTACTTCATATCCGTTTCAACTTTCGTTCTTTCTTTCGTTTTAATTTTTCTTTCCATTCATTCATTCTTTTCTGCTATCATTCTTTCTTCCGATGACGTTTTCTTTCTCTCTCTTTTTTTTCTATTGCTTCTATTTCCCCACCCTTCTCTTTTCTATCATTTCTTTCCCCTCTCCTACAATTTCTTTTCTATTTTTACCTTTCGTTTCTTTCTTTCTTTCTTTCTTTCGTTCTTATTTTTTTGTCTCTTTATCCTTTTCCAGTCATTCTTTCTGGCTTTCTATTGTTTTTTTTTCCTTTCGACACATTTTTTCTTACTCTTTTTCGTTTTCTTTTTCTTTCGTTCATTGTTCACCTGTTTCTTTTATCATTTTACTTGTCTTGACGTAATTTTTCTTCCATTTCTTTCTTCTTTTTTCTTCCATTTCTTTCTTCTTTTTTCTTTCTTTTTCGTATGTTTCCTCCTATAATTTATAGTCATTTCTCTTCAATAGTTTCTTTCTTTTTTTCTTTTATCGCATTCATTTCTTTCTTCTTTCCTTCTTTCTTGTCCTTTCATTCTTCCTGTTTTCTTTCTTCATGGCCCTTATATTTCTCGCTTTTCTTCTCTTTTCTTTTTGTTCCTTTTCTTTTTCATGGATCGTTCTTTACTTTTTCTCTTTCTTTTTTGTATAATCGTTTTATTCTTTCCTCTCTTATTTTCTTTTTAATTTTTCTTTCTTTCTTTTCCTTTTCTCGTTTGTTTCGGTTTTGCTTTATTATCCTTTCCTTTTCTTCGTTTCCTCTTTCTTCTATTTTTTTTTCCTCTCTCTAATAATAATCTTAAATTCTTCTCTTCCCCACCATCTTTACGCACACTTTGCATCATTTACAAGCACAGAGCGCGAAAGACTCAATGCCCTCGCCCTTGCCTTTGCCTCTGGCGTTGACAGTGTTCCAATCTAACTTGAGGTCAAATATCAAGGACTGAGTTTCGACACAAATATCAGCGCAGAAATTAGCTCAACAAACTTTTGGCCGTTAGTAAAAATGGGTTTGCGAGTTAAATATGTGTCATTGAAAAAATATCGCAAACAATTTCTCACGAAACCATTTTTACGAGACTGATTTATTTTGTATCCGAGTTTCGAGTCAGACAATTTCGTTGAATTCTGAATCCGTGCAATTTTAGCCCTCATTGTTTTGGTATCCAGCAACGTCGAGATGCTTGTTGAAGAGCATGATCCAGGGAAGTTTGAGTACTTGCTTTTTTTTTACAGAAACCGATATGACATGATACCAACAGTTAACTAAACACCATGTATATCATTATTATCTTTCTATAATTTAGTTTCTTTCTCGCTCTTTCTCTCTCTCTCTTCCTCTCCCTTTCTTTCACTCGCTCACACACACGCGCGCGCATACATTTTTAATCATTTCAGACCCAAACAAGTCAATAAAAGATACTAGAATGCAAGGAATTACAGAGAGTGGATAAAAGAGAATCTCTCAGTCTCTATCTTTCTCTCCGCTCTCTCTGTCTGTCTGTCTGTCTGTCTGTCTGTCTCTCTCTCTCTCTCTCTCTCTCTCTCTCTCTCTCTCTCTCCCTCTATCTATCTATCTATCTATCTATCTATCTATCTATCTTTCTATTTATGTGTGTGAATGACAGGATAGGAAACAAATATGAAACGTTTATAAATTTTACATGTTTCGCTTTTATTTAAGCTTCATCAGAATTTATATATATATATGAGTTGGGGTATTATGATTATTTACATTATTTACATTATTTGGTCTGTTATCTACATCTTCATTGACATATTCACAACGTTTCGACCGTTGTACGCTCCGGCCTTCTTCAGGTGATTAGAATTTAGAAACAAACCCTTTATTTCGTCCACCGGGGTAGATTGTTCTAGTTCCATGTGCCATGCCTCTTATAGATATCTCAGTTATTTGCTTTTAACTCAAGGACACATAGCCCAACGGATAAAGTCTTTGGTTAAATCCAGTGTTTGCAGTGGTGAACCAAACTTGGGGACTTATGTTAAAGGGAAATTACATATATTTATGTAGAAAAAGACCTTAAAGTAAAGACCTACTCACTTAAAAAGTGCTCAATGTCTTGATTACCTAGACAGATCTAAAAACTCTTCACAACGTTAACTCCTATAAAGGACAGCCCGAGTTGTTACACGAGTTTCACGCTTCACACGATTTTCAGCGCGCGCGCGTGCGTGTATGTGTGTGTGTGAATTGATTAGTAAATGTTCAAAAGGATTTATCTCTTTCACCAACTCCAGAGTAATATCGTTAATCGGTGTCAGCATCATAAATCTGTTGAATTATTACCAGATATCATATTTAGATACCAAATTTCAACTTTGAAATATGCACCGGCTAGAGTCTGTAAGGAACATGGCAACATTTGGATATTTAGAGACACTTTTAACTTAAAATGTTCGATATTTTTTTTATTTATTTATTTCCCTGTCATAAAAACTAAAATAAACACAGCAAATTCAGCAAAAATCACACAATACAGAAAATAGAGACATAGTCTAAAATATTGCAATATTAAAATATATGCTGTATCGGAAAGATGCAGGCATGAACACAAACAAATGCATATGTACAAGTTCATTAAAATTAAAACCTACTTTTAAAGGAATGCACACACGTAGGCGCAGACTAACAATCACACAAGGCGAAAACATAGAAAGTGATTTACTTGAACACACACATATATATATATATTTATTGTATATATATATATATATATATATATATATATATATATATATATATATATATATATGGTCTGTATGCGTTTGAATTATATATATATATATATATATATATATATGTATATAAATTCAAACACATACAGACCACACTATATATATATATATATATATATATATATATATATATATATATATATATATATATATATGTATGTATGTATGCGTTTGTATTTTAATAAATATATATATGTATGCGTTTGAATTTTAATAAAATATATATATATATATATATATAATTCAAACATATACAGATATATATATATATATATATATATATGGCGGTCTGTATGCGTTTGGATTTTAATAAATATATATATATATATATATATATATATATATATATATATATATATATATATATATAAATTAAAATTCAAACACATATATATATATATATATATATATATATATATATATATATATTCATTCTTTTGACGCAATAAGCGCCTCATTGTCCTTGATGTCTGCTCACTTGGGAACCTACCAGGAGGTTGAAGTAGGTAGGGAAACGAAAAGTGATTATATTGTAGGCGGTTGGTACGTGCTGCAGGTGTGGTATGGAGAAATAGACACAATCTGCTGTTAACGTATAATAGGAGAAAGAAAAACAGGAAGAAAAAAAACTCTTTTTTAAGTCTCTCTGTCACTCTGTCTCTCTCTCTTTCCCCTCTTCTTCTTTTACACACACACACACACACTCTCTCTCTCTCTCTCTCTCTCTTACCCCTCTTCTTATTCTTCTTCTACACTGACTATTCTTGCTTTTAACCAATCAAAACACGCCAGCCAGTCAGCCAAGCGTTCAGGCTGACTGATAATATTTCTAAATTTCGCTTATGAACTAATATCAAATATTCTCTGACTGGTTTTCACTTGGATTGTAATCCCATTTGTTTTTCATTTACACCTGGTGAAGTCAAGAGAAATAACGAAAAAAACGTGATTTTTATATCTGGGGTTATGAAGTGAAGGAGTAATTCTGTGGAGACTGTACCAATCATTCAAGCCATTTTCGGTCGATCCTCGCTAACTGCTCCAATACATATTGCCTGATGATGAAGTTTGACAAGTCCTGTAAATACAAATTTGATTATTTATAATGACCAAATAAAAACTTAAAAGTAGTGAGCCATTTTAAAAATTTTAACTCAATTATCAACGAAAATGGCACCAGAATAAAAATGTTCAAAAGCAGCACAAAAAATGGCAGCTGTCGCAAAACTAAGAATCACCTGGGAAGAAAATAAAAGAAAAAAAATCATGGAAAAAAAAGAAACAGGATAAGGTTAGCAGCCAGAGAACAAAATGCCAGCAGACAAAATGTCAGTCTCATAAATAGATTAAAAACACAAGGAACTTTTAATTCAAATTTTAATGTTAAATTGAGACTTTCTTCATCACATTAAAGTCAGGTCTTACTATGACTCCCTAACTATGAAATATATCGAATATGTGACCGTAGCATATTTAGAAATCGTCTTTTACGGTTTATCTATCTTAGTATACGATATTCCTGGTTTGTTTACGTTTCAGCACAAGGCTTTACATTATACGGATTTGCATTTCTTTGACAAAAAAAAAGACGGATGGAAAGATGATGATTATAAAAAAAAAAGGTGAATACATTCTCCAAGATTGGTGATGCCATACTTGTCAAGACATAGTTTCGTTTCAATTTTTGGTCCTTTTATACTAATATTCACCCAATACATTGCTTAAGAGCCAATCAAGGTAGAGAGAGAATTACTATGTGGCGTTGTACGAGCGTAAGAAAAGGCAAGTGTAGGTCAAAGGATATGTAGGTAAGATAACGATTAATCTTAGACTTGAAAAGGTCCAGATTGCAGTGATTGGGAAAACATCCTGCCAGGAGTCTGTTCCACAACGCAGCAGTTCTTGGAAAGAAGCCGTCCGAATGGAACTTCTTACAATTAGAAGACGAAAGGAAAAGATAACGGTTAACCCTAGACTTGAAGAAGTGAATATTTTAGGGATTGGGAAAACATCTTACCGGGCGTCTATTTCACAAAGCAGCCGTTCTTGGGAAGAAGCTGCCCGAATGGAACTTACTCCTTACTAATGGAATACGGAGAGAATGTAGATGGAACTTTTAATTCAAATTCTAATGTGAAATTGAGACTTTCTTCATCACATTAAAGTCGGGTCTTGTGGGATACTAATACTCCCTAAGTGTGAAATATATCCAATATCGACCTTAGTATTTTTAGAAAACGTTTTTACGGTTTATCTATCTTTGATCTCTGTGGTTTGTTTACATTTTAGCGCACACTTTGAATACCCTTCTTAAATCTTACGTTAGATAAAGTCGTGTCTTATGGGATACTAGAACACTCTTACTATGTATATTACGATCATATATAGAATATGTAACCATAGCATTGTTAGAAAACATTTTTAGACGTTAGATCGATTTGTGGGATACCCCAGTTGGTTTCGCTAAAAACGCCCATTAGACGGCGTTGTTTGAGTCTATAAAAAGGTAACTATATCCTTTCACTTTCTCTTTTTCATCTTGATTCCAGATGTAGTCACACGTAGCTAAGGTACCCCCCCACTGGGACACGTTTGTTTCCTCAGCCCAGTAACTATTGAATACTCACACGCACACATATACACATACCCTTGTTTATCACACACGCTGTATATCAGGCTTGTTTCACAATGGTACTTACTCGGATCTCAGTTAGTCAGGTCCGGTGGGACCAAGGAATGTAGCTTGTAAGAACACATGTCATGGAAATGGCGATAGTGTGGCGAGAGGCTAACGATGTTTTCCTCTGTGGTAAAAGGATTGTAGGGTGGAAAATAATTCATCACCCAACGTGATTTGATTTCTACGGTTCAAGGGTGCTTTTCCCTAAGCCAGGTGAAGCATCAATGGTCTAGCGGCAATAAGGGTACACTTCTTGGTCGACGACACCAAAATGCTATGGAATGAAGTTTACGCAAAAATGCGTTGACAATAAATTGAAATACGATCTAATATAGTTCTTCCCGAGCCTTCATCACCTACCCATTCTTGTCAGTTACCAACTTTCCTTCTTTTCTTTTTTATGTACCATGTCTTTTCAGGACGTAGGCGATCGTGGCTCTCCACCTCCCTCTATCCCTTGCAGCTCTCAGCAAGTTCCTTCCCTCTGCTTCCTCTCTCACACCACGTTCTGTCATCCACCTGCTCAAGCCCGTCAGGTATGTCACGCGCTTCTTTCCCTTATCTCTCTTTCTCGCTATTCGACCCGTGAGTATCAGGTTCTCCAAGCCCTCTATCCTCATTATATGCCCCAAAAACTAAGGTACCTCTTTCTGATTTTAGGTATAAGCCTTCTCCTTGTTTGTAACCTCATCGTTGCTCACATGCTCGATTGTTTCATTAACAGTTAGTGCTTGTACATTTTACAAGCCGGTGACTCACCGGAGCTCACATATTTCTTATAAACTCTTGCTTCGACTATCGAGAAGAAACCCCAACAATCAATCAAATGGCGTTAGATCTTGTCCGCGTCCCATGCCAAATGCAGCTACACTATTAAGAGGACCAATGCTATCTAAGTATGAAGTTGAGAATTTAATAACCTTATTAAAAACTGTTAAATCATCCAAATGTACGTATGTGTACGTTATTTAAACTATCGATATTTTCTCGAATACATTGAAATAATAATATGTTTTATATATGCTAATAAGTATCGAATTCTTACATGTGCCGTGTCCCTTCAGGACGTTGATGATCATGGCTCCCCACAATGTCCTATGCTTTGTAGCTCTTAGTAAATTTTGTCTTTATGTCATCTCTCCTAAACCCTGTTCTACTATTCCTTTGCACAGGCTCTTTAGGTAGGCGATGCGCTGTTTACATCTGTCCCTCTTGCCGTCAATATATCTTGTGAGTATCAAAATGACCAAGCCCTCTTTTCTCATTATGTGCTCTAGAAATTTCAACTGTTTCTTTCTCTCTCTCTCTCTCTCTCTCTCTCTCTCTCTCTCTCTCTCTCGCTCTCGCTCTCTCTCCTCCCTGTATTTCTTTCTTTATTTTTCCTCTCTTTCTTTCCCCCTCTCTCTTTCCCCTCTCTCTCTCTCTCTCTTCTTCCTGTATTTCTTTCTTTATTTTTCCTCTCTTTCTCTCCCTCTCTCTCTCTCTCTCTCTCTATTTGAAACTCCGGTTCCTCTATGATTACCGAAATTAAGCAACGTCAAGCCTGGTCACTACCAAGATGGGTGACTACTTGGGAGTACAAAGTGCTGTAAGCTTGGATATGCAGATAGGGGTAATGGATAATGGCTCGGAATTACTAATCAGAGAGCAGGGTTCCAGTTCCAGTCGGGTTCGTTAAATTCACTTATGCGTAAATACCTTTGGGAAAGGTATGGACCTACCTCTTCTACCCCCCACCACACACCAGCTATGGGTTAATTAGTAAGACTTGTATCACTAAATCATTATTACCTCCCCGCAAAAATTATTACAATCTAAATATATTTTCTGGCTTTAAATAACCTGCAAAGGTTTGATAAGCCATGTAAAAAACGAATCAACGTAAACCTTTTTCTTTGCTCTTCTCTGTCTCCCTTTCTTCCTCAAATTCCCCTCTTTTTCACCCCCTCTCTCCCTCCCTCTACCCATCCCTTCTCTTTTTCCACCCCTCTTCCTCTCTCTCTCCCTCTATCTATCTCTCTCCCTCCCTCTCTCCCTCTCTCTTCATCTCTCCCTCTCTTATCTCCATATCTCCCTCACTCTTACTCTCTCTCTCCCTCTATATTTACTTCTCTCCCTCTCTTTCTACCTCTCTCTTTCTTTCTCTATTTCTTAATCTTTCTACATATTATTTGAAAGATCTCCTTTTTTCTTTTCTTCTTATGTATGTCTCCTCTTTCTTGGTTCTATACCTATACTCTCTTCTCTTCTCTTATGTAACCAATCTCATTGATCTCTTTCTTTGGTTAATTTTATTCCAAATATCCGAATTATCCTAGATTCTTAGACCTTTTACAACAAGAAAAACGGTTTAGTTAAATGATAGCAACAGAGAATTTCATAAAAGACGCAACGAATATAATAATCCAGTTAAACCGAGCGGAACTTCTTTTTCTTTTCTTTTTTTTTTTTTCTTTTTCGTTTTCTTAGAGTTTAGGATAAATATACACGATCGTTCTTTGCAGCTACGATTCTCGTTGCAACGTTTTAGACATGAAACAATCCTTGTCTTTCAGGTTTGTTTTTCTTCGTTTGTTCCTGTGTGCCGATTCTCCCGTGGGGTAATGATTACGACGGGGGTTGCTTAAAAGAAAGAGGAAGAGGCGTGGCTTAACAAAACTTGCGCCCACTCCCAAGCCTTCGTCTTGGTACACATCTAACGATGTAAGCCTATTGCGTTCGGCACGAACACGCAACATTTAATTAGGAGCATACTTTATTTATATCGTCTTCATTCGCCATCAGCCTCTGTTCTTTTCTCGTCAACCATTACAACAGTAACACGTCTTCCTACTTTCTTTACTTGCACATATACTTCTTTTTATAATGACTCCTCCCTCCTTTCTATAGCACCTACTACTACTTCTCTTCATAAGGATCATTAACATCTTCCACCATCCTCCCACAATATCTACATTCCCTTTCTTCTCTTTTCGAATAGCTGACGGCTTTAGCACAATTAGGATGCGGAGGACGATTTACGCAAGGTACATTATTTGGTGTCTGTTCCGTGTATCGCTCTTAGAATTATGTGAATCCTTCTGCCATGCTTTATCTCTATACATACCAGGTTAGCGTATTGCTGCCATATAATGTCAGAAGCTGTCCAGTCTTCACTTTCAGGGTAATATTATATAGCATTCGTCGGTCTCGAAAAACTGCTTATGATGGTACAGCATCTGATATTGCTGTACAGGTCCTTACGAGAGTGACAGTCTCGATTGCACTCAATGCATGTGAAAACGCTCTTCCCCGACGTCTCCGTGTTGTTTTCTTTCCTTCGAGCACGCTTCTACCCGGCGGCAAACCTCCGTTTCTTTTCTCCTAGCCCTCGCTATAAATCGCATCTTCAGTGTGGGCGACTGTTGTCGACGTCTTTCCACCTATCGCCCTCATTTTGCAGATGTCCTTGAAGCGAAGATGACCTCGCCAGGCGTCCAGATCCCCGTACACAATGAGCTTCGGAATCCGCCCATTCAGTGGATTGTTGATTCCCGTTATTTGCCTTCGCGATGAGGCGATGCCGTAGTGTTCTCTCCACGGCGCCTGCCTAGGCAAGGTTTTATTAGATATCGGCGATTCTCCATGCAGAACGGCTCTGCTCTCGACGCCACCGATGTTGTCCAATGGAGAGTTTCGCAGGAGTTGCCAGATCGAAGTTGAACATAACATCGGACCGTCTTATAGACTGGGTCTCCGAATTTGTCCTCAGAGTTTACACCCGAAGCCTTTCCCATGAAAGGATATGACATCAAGGCAGCGGCGGTTTAAAATTAGATTTTTCCTTCTCTTAATAACCGTTAAACTAACGGTATATCCATCACTTTTATTGTTGTGGATTCCGGAATGAAATCCAGTACCAATAAATAACAAACGCCAAGAATGAATATATAAAAATAATGTATTAACGTAATAATACAAACTGGTAAAGCAGGTTAGTAGTTCCAGGAATACGGGTTAGTAGCAAAATATCTATACAGTCTTTGATATTGAAGTATCGCGGTATGACTTCTTACTGAGTCTACGTACTCGCTCACTGTGACTCTTGCTCGCTACCTTCAACCTTTCACTCTCCCTCTTCGGTCTGTCTGTCGGGTCTTCACGTAGCAGTAGTATATGTATATACTGGGTGAGTCCATTTGTGTACAAAGGGGAGGACCCCTCAACATTTATAATACCGGAATTATTACTACTAATAATAATAACAACAACAACAACAACAACAACAATAATAATAATAAGATAATTTAACTATCCTCTGGTACATGCCAATTCAAACTGACAGGGATATAAAAGCCAACAGGCCTGATATTATCATAAAAGACAAGAAATTCAGCAAGTGTATGCTTATTCATAGCAGTACCATCTAAGAGAAACACAAACATAAAAATTATCGAGAAATTGTCCAGCTACAAGGACCTGGAGATCGAGATTAACAGGATGTGGGAAATGAAGACTGAAATTGTACCAATAGTAATCGGAGCTCTGGGCCTCGTGAGTAAAGGAATGAACAATTTTACTAACAGTGTCCCAGGTAACTTTAACATACAAGTTGCCCAGAAAATCGCCCTACTAGGAACATCCCATATACTAAGAAATGTGTTATCAATGAAATGACAATTCTCCTATAAGGCCCAGGGACTATAGTATGGACCCGGCTCTACAGGATACAAAGCAGGAAACATAACATACACAAATAATAATAATAATAATAATAATAATAATAAGAAGAAGAAGAAGAAGAAGAAGAAGAAGAAGAAGAAGAAACACTAATGCTGCTCTGGATATGTGGCTTCTGATCATGACCGAGAGCCGACACAGTTTGCTTTTTTTTAAGTTTAAATGCATGTGACAATCAAAATTATTATTATTATTATTATTATTATTATTATTATCAAGGTCATTTGGAAACACCCTCATTCGTAAGCATTTTAGGGAACTGGATTACCCCACTGTGACGTATGTCCCTGGTAAACAATTATCAGATTAGATGACATGATGACTATATTGAGCTTCGTATATTTTTAACCCATAGTCCCTTTGTTGACATGCTGCAATAATAACACAAAGTTGACATGCACAATAATAATAAAACAGTCGCCTTTCGTTAGGCTATGCAAACGTGATCATCTGACATAAAAGTTTCGCCTATGATAGTGAGTGAAGAGAATAAAATCAGACTATGAGGACCTCTCAGTTTCATGTATATAGATACAGGGTGATTATTTTAGACATTTTTTTGTCGGGAGAGTGTATGCCGTAAATATCGAAACTTCTAGTTAACCATGACATATTTGTGACAGGTGTTAAATTAATCAAATACTTATACTGTAAGCAAACTGCCTGCATACGGATAGAAAATCAATTCAAAAAAAAAAAAGAAAGGGGAGTAAGACAAGGATGTGTCTTCTCGCCGGACTTATTCAATCTATACAGTGAATCGATTCTGAAAGAATTACAAGTCCTACATGGATTTATTATTGGCGGACACACCATAAGATATGCAGATGACATAGTGTTGATAGCAGACACAGAAATAAAGCTCCAAGATATCCAACAGAAGATAGTGAAGGAAATCGAGAAGAAAGGACTAAACATCAACTACAAGAAGACATAATGTATGGTTGTTAGCAAAAGGAACAGCCCAACATACAAATTACAAATTGGAGAAAGCAAAATATCTGGGAAGTGTTTTATCAGAGGAAGAGAAGTGCGACACTAAAATTCGTAGGCAGATTAGGATGGTGAATGATGCCTTCAAAAAGCTGAGCAAAGTATTAAGAAACAGGAAAAATTCGTTAGAAACAAAGAAAAAAATATTGTACTGTTACGTGATATCTATCCTCCTATATGACAGTGAATACTGAACAATCTCTTCACAGATGAAGAAGAGACTTGAAACAACAGAAACGTAGTTGGTCAGAAAGATGCTGAACACACATCGAACATGTAAACAACTGCGGAGTTTTAGAGGAAATGGCAATAAAAAGGACACTTATACTCAGGAAGAAATAGTTGCAATTTCTAGTGACCATAATGATAAAAGAGGGCTTGGAAAATCTGATACTCACAGGACAGACTGAAGGCAAGAGAAACAGAGGTAAACAATGCATAACCTACCTACCGAGGTTGAGTAAATGGATGGCAGAACCATGTATAGGAGAGATAACAAAAAGACATAATTAATTAAGAGATACAAAGGACGGGAAATTGTGGAGAGTCATGATCGCCAACGTCTTGAAAGAACACAACACAACAATGAAGAAAGAAAGAAATAAAAAAGAAAGAAAACTTTTTAAACTAAGACAAAACATTTTCTTTTTAATGATCGTGCAGATACATGTAAAATCTACGATCCCAATTTCCTTTGTTTGTTCCTCTTCTTTTCCGGTCGGTGGTGTACGCCTCCAGTTTTTACTTACAGAACGAATGTGTGCAAAAAGCATTTTGTACAAATCTTATATATTTGTAGTATGCTTCTCACCAACAAATTATTCTAATTTTGTAGTTTCTATATTTTTATTCCTTTGTGCACCAGCCGTAGAGCGATGATTAGCCGTTTATTCTCGGAAGCCATTCCTGATGAGTTCGGTATACAATGGCCGGCATATGATTTTGCTTTTGTACAAAACGGGTGGGTGCTCAAAGAAAGCGTTACTCTTCTGTTACGAATTGTTTCCATAAGCGTCTTCTTTTAACAAAAATATCATCAGCCAAACACATTAGTTCTTATGGCATTTAATTAATTCGACTTGTGTGAATGGCGTGTCTAAGCAACGAGTAGGCTTTACGGTAAATGAAAATATAAAGGCCGCATACTTAGAAAAAGACAGATGACACATAGTAAAGAAAGAAAGCTTGGAAAATGCGATGCTCACAGGATATATTGAGAGCAGAAGAAGCCTAGAGTGACACTGAATTACCTACCTAACATCTAGGAAAAACTGAACAGCCTCCCATTGGTTAACCTCCCCCCCCCCCAAATGCTCTTCAACCATAGCTCACCGTAACTATTACTATATCTATCACAGGAAACGGTATAGTATTACACTTGCTGTCATCCGGATTGCTTGCAATCATTGCAAGAGGATTCTAGAATATGCAAAATGTTGCTATGCTCAAGTAGTCCAAGCCAAAATTGAAAGCAAACAACATGGATCCGGGTAGATCTGGGAGATCTCTAACCAAATTCTCAATAGACGCACATCCTCAAGTTTCTATTCTAAATGGTCACGAGGTCATATCATTGTCAGATAAGGCGAAGCTCTTCGCCTCGATCTTTGCATCTAATAAAAATGGCTATCCCCTTACCAACTTCCCTCGCCTCACTGAGCACAATCTCAATTAGATTATGACAACCCGACATATCTCAAGACTTGTCAAAATACTAGTTTCGTCCTTAAGAATATTAACCCCAAGTTATCCCTGATCTTGGAAAAAATTATTTAACTGCTGCTTGAAGGAGAAATCCTTCCCAAATCAGTGGAAGGTGTCAATTGTATCAAGAATTAATACTGTTTATTTAAATTCAGAGCATTTACTTAAATAAATTGTATCTATTAAAATAACGTATAAAGAGATAATATATTAAATAATTGTCCATTTCATAATATATATATATATATATATATATATATACTAGTAGCCCTTTTTTATTTGCCCTTCCTTGCTTTCAAAGGAATGCCCTTTGCCGTGCTGATGTTGCTACATGCCTCACTTCTTGCCTATCTCACACTGCGAATTTTTTCTAAGCTCTATACTAAACATTAAATCTGTTACGAAAAAAGAACTAAATAAAATGAACACAAAACGATCAGCTTTAAAAAAGAACTCGTAACTGGAAAAACCGAATGAAAAAAGAATGTTCACAACCCAGTTCTGCGGAATCAGGATAAATGTTGAGTTTAAGCAAGCGAATGAGCCAATTGGAGTAAAGGGCCATGCAGATTTAAATTTTTCCTACTTATCACGAATGCAGCTATCGATTTTTTTTTTTTGCATGCTAGTTAACATTCGTGTTAGTCAGCTGTTGGCTCTCACGCTGGCCAATAGAATCTTCCCGCCTATTTGTAGCAGCCAGCTATTGGCTCTCGCTCTGGCCAGCAGAAAAAAGCCGCAAACTACATGAAAACTAGAAGCATGAAAAAATCGATTATTTCCACTATCGATGGGAGTTGGTAAATGCAAAGTCAGTCTTGGCCTTTCCGCTAACTAGGAGCATGTGCATGTAAATTTTGGTGCAAATCTGTCGAAAATTGCGGCCGTGCATTCGTTACACACACACACACATCCTGCCTTTTTTATATATATACTCATGTAATGATAAGTGTCACTGATTTATATCCGTAAAGTGAGCTAAATAAAAACAAACCAAGTAAAATGACAGCCAAGTAAAAGAAAAAGGAAAAACAAAAGAAAATACCAAAGCGAGCAAGGACAAAAAACGACAGAATAAGAAAGAATGCAATAAACAAAAGAATCAAGAGAAAAAAAAACACAAAAAATGCGAAAGAAAAAGGAAAAAATGTGACGACAAATAAAAACAAAACAAAATCCGAAAGAATAAGAAAAAAAATACAAAAAAGAAACAGAATACAAAAAAGAAACAGAATACAGAAAAAGAAACATAATACAAAAAAGAAACAGAATACAAAAAAGAAACAGAATACAAAAAAGAAACAGAATACAGAAAAAGAAACAGAATACAAAAAAAAGAAACAGAATACAAAAAAAGAAACATAATACAAAAAAGAAACAGAATACAAAAAAGAAACAGAATACAAAAAAAAGAAACAGAATAACCTAAAACCGACAAAAAAAAAGACTAAATTCCCAAGCATAGGTTAGTTTCGCGAAGATCGAACTCACAACTCAAAAAGCCCTGCTTGCTGACCATTACATTCACTATGAAGGCACGAAGAAAGCAAAATAATGTTGGTATTGGCAGTCATGACAAACCAGTCAACTTCGGTGCTGTCGACGAGGAAGGGCGGTAACAACGACCAGGCACTTCTCTCTTGGCATGAAGACAACCAAAAATACATATCAAAGGAAGTCGAGAAAACACAATTTTGTGCAGCGTTGATAAATTTGCTGCACCTGGCGCCTATGACTTCTTTGATTCGACTTTAGCATTGACTCATTTCTTGTTGATGTTAAGTAGATCAGTTCTTCAGAAGACAGGGAGACAGATGGTAGGGACCATTTGCAGAAATAGGTACTGTCTTATATATATATATATATATATATATATATATATATATATATATATATAAGGTGTATCAAAAATATTTTTACAAAGTTTGGGGGGCGAGTTCCTCAAATCAAAGCAAGGACAAAAGTCCACGTGTGCTGATACCTGGATCGCTTCCGACAGCCTGTAGAATGTGTTCTCGTTCTTCCTCGATCCATAGTTAGTGGCGACACGGATCCTGTCCCAGTAACGCGACGATCAACAGCAGCAAAGTTTGGATGACTCAACTGCTATATGAATATGATATGAATATCCTGCCATTGTTAAACGGGACACTTCTTAGTTAACTCACTACTACAAACGTTAAACGCTGAAGACTAACCAAAAATGTACACGAGTGACAAATGTAACCTAGTATAAATGGCAGTACAGCACCATCCATTGTAAACTTTCTTTAAACTTAGTAATTCCAAAACGAAGGACATAGGTTTATATGGACTTTTATCCTTGATTAATGTGAGGTACCACACACACACACACACACATATATATATATATATATATATATATATATATATATATATATATATATATATGGAGTTTTAAATTATGCTATATTTATGGGATAAAGTGCTCAATATTAGAGCAAGAGCGTATGTAAATATAAAAGTGAACATTGAAGTCAACACTCAGAGGCGACAGACTGTTTTATGCTAAATGCAATCGTCAGGCTAACGATATATATATATATATATATATATATATATATATATATATATATATATAGAGAGAGAGAGAGAGAGAGAGAGAGAGAGAGAGAGAGAGAAACTGGGATAGAGGGAAAGAACTGTATGCATATATACATACATTTTTTGTAATAATTTCACCCAGATCTCTTCTACTCCAATAGCTTCATACCTCGCACCTCTCGCCTGTGGAACACCCTTCCCAATTACTGTTTCCCTGAAAGCTATAATCTCTAACTATTCAAATGTAATGTCAATCGACACCTCCAGTTACCTTGATCTACCCACTATCCTTCTCCTCATCCTTTCTTCTATCACTCCTATCTGCTCTCGCTCCAAATCTTCTGCAACCCCCTGCATCCTAGTGGCTTCACGCCTTGCTCGGGGCGTAATGCTTAAAAAAAAAAAAAAAAGAACAAGGCAATAAAGCCACTAAGGTGCAAGGAATTACTGAATGTTAGAGAAGTTAAGAAAAAGACACTAACAAAGGGGAGAAGTATAAAAGAACAAAAATTAAGAAGACAGGAGATAACGATTCATAATGTATTTAAATTTTCGAAGATCAAAGCCGACTAGAAAGCAAGAAGCTGGAAGAGAGTTCTACAAGTGCGGGAAAAGAAACTGTTAGCATAGAACTTGCTGTTAATTTAGTCATTTCAACTGCGAAATGCTGATACCTTGCTACCAATCTAGTACTATGCTTAAATACATAAAATCTAGGTACAATAATGGAAAGTTCATTAGAACAATTACAATGGAAATATTTACAGGAGAGGCACAGAAAGCAACATTACGGTAGTATGAATCAAGAATCTCTAAATATATAGCATGAGCACCAGACCAGATGTTGCAGCAATATTCAAAGCATAGATGAATGGCAGACTTGTAAGAAAGATTCTAACGAGAAAAATGCCTAGCCCGACACAGGGAATTCATTTTTCTAGCAGAAGACCTAGCTAGATTGAATATAATCTTTCCACTTCATGTCAGTGGAAAACGTTAGTCCGATAAGGAACAATGAGCCACTGTCCTGGAGGTTAGCATTAGCCATGATGTTGGAAAGTATAAAAATAGTTCTCTGAGTCGATTAAAAGAGAGTAGTTTCATTTTGGCGGCGTTAAAATTAACAACTCATTCCTTGCACCAGTCAATAACAGAATGACGGCCATTTTTTTTTCTTTTTTGCTCAGCTGCCAATATAACCTTATCGAACCGTGGTAACATATGTATGTAGCTACATATGTATGTATATGCATATAGAGAGATGTATCTTCTTTTACGTGCCGTGTCCCTTCAGGACGTAGGTAATCATAACACTCCACATCTTCCTGACCCTTGTGGATCTTAATAACTTTTTTCTTTTTGTTAATTCTCCCAAAACCTGTTCTGCCATCCATTTGTATAAGTCCATCAAGTATGTCGCGCGCTGCTTTCTCTTGTCCCACTTTCCCTCTATCTCTCTTGTGGGTATCAGAGTTTCCAAACCCCGGGGTCGATTTGCACCCTTTCAGCAGAAGAGAGGAGACAAGACTCTAAAATTCTCTTGTACTGCTCGCTACTGAGGGTCTTTTCAATAGGTTTTAAGAAACCAGTTCCATGAAAAGAAAAGCATCCCCAGAACATTATACTGAACGGATACTTGACAGTAATTACTGCTAAATTCAAAAAGCTTTCAAAGCTTCTTCTTCGGATTTTAAATCGTTTATCCTTTGAATTTAGCTCAACTTTCGTTTCATCGGAGAAGAGAACATTTAGTAAAAAAAAAAAAAATCAGGTGAGTCACTTTTATCGAACAGCATTGTATCTTTGGCCATCCTAATACGTCTACGGATCTCAGCGTCGCACATTCAGTCCTCATGTTTAATCATTTGGGTTACATTTTGGGAAGTGGTTCAAGCTGAGAACTTTTCAGCATCCTTCATACAGTTGTAGATCATAGTTATTACCTGAATTCTTATCTGAAATTTTCACTCTATAAAGTGTGACTTATATATTTATTATTTACTACTGAATTAAGAAATTTAAATACCCGGGTAGTGTTTTAACAGAGGACGGAGAGTGTAGGTACAGAAATTGAAATACCTAAATTTCTAACAAGGTGTTTACAACACTTCACCGATATTCAAATTTCTGTACCTGCTTGATTTTAATATCCCCGACCCGTAATTTGCATTATGGGCTCACCTTTTTATTGATAACCATGCATTCTGTCTTTTAGTTTATGCTTAGTCCTTTCTTCTTGCTTTCCTTCGCTACATTCTATAGAAGGTTTTGTAGTTTCCTTTCTATGTCTTCTATCGGTACGGCGTCATTTGCATATCTTATATTGTTAAGATTGTGGCCGCCAATAATGAATCCTGGTAGGACTTCTAATACGTATACATACATGAACTTATATTAGAAGAATTAATGAGAAAATCGAAAAAAAATTCTTGTAACGTGTTTCGCCCTTTAAACACGTGATATTTACGCTGATGTGACTACAGATACGCACGAAGAGGAAGGTACGCTGAACTTGTAAACCTTTCATTTTTTTTTTTAATATGTGTTTGGCTATATAGTCTAGGCCAAGGCAATTATTTTGGCTTGAAAAGTCTGTGGTTAACGAATGACCACACCTTTTAACACATATTCATTAGTTAACATTGCATTTCGTTTAATACGAAGTGTAAATTGAATAATAATAATAATAAATAAAACTAAGTTTTAAACAAATAAATTAAAATTAAAAAATTAAAATTTTTAAAAATTAAAACAAATTAAAACAAATAAATTTAATGAAACCCTTTCTGTGTAAACAGAAAGGGTTTCATTAAATTTATTTGTGTGCTAATTGCACATCAGCCAGCACAAGTAATTTAATGAAACGTATGTAAACGCTCACACTTTTACACTTCTTAAGAAATTAGGACTGAGCTTGCTTGCTGAGATCCTCAACATTGCCTGCAAGTTTATGTCAGTAACAGACGATCTACTTTTTACTCTTATTGATTTTCATGCAAGAAAAAACTTTGCTCACAAATATATGTGGATCCAAAAATAGAAAGCGTTTTCCCAGCAAATTCCTTCACATGAAAATTTGTCAGTAGAGATTTATAAAATTCTATCACTGTCACAGAATTAAACTTTTTTTTTTTCAGGGTCTGATTTGACTACATGTTCGTTAGTCGTTCTGCATTTCCTCAAGTACTGCCTGAATATCAACAGTGAAAGAATAAGATGCAAAATTGAATTCAGGCTTAATTTTTTTTGAAGTCCTGAAATCTTCTTGTCACCTCATCCTCCAAACTCAGCAAATGATCCCTAATCTTGGAAGAAATACTTGCAGGCACTTTCCGTTTTCCTAAAAAAAGGGAAATTACAAAATTCGCCCTCATCTGCTTGCCTTAGAAATAGACCTAGTTTTGTTTTGAATGAGCTCACAGGCCTCAACATTTCATGTGCAAATAGTCCCTTTCCCAGCAACGTCATATTCAATTCATTTAATACCTCGCTTTTATGTCCAGAAAGATCAGAATTTTATTTCGTAATTCCTAAACTCGTTTTAGGACTTTGCCCAGAAATGTTGAAAGAACCTGTACGCACATATACTGTGAATGATCTAGCTGTTACAGCAATATAAAACATCTTATATATAAACTACAGTATATGTGTGTATGTTTGTATGCATGTGTGTGTCCAAGCAACTCCTCCGCTCCTACTGGTCTGATTTCAATGATTCATAGCTCATTCAAAAGCCCTAGAAAAGTTAGGCGCACGGAACGATTTTCATTGGGCTCAGATTCAGGATTGCCAGATTATGCGAGATTAAAAGTATATATTAATACATTATAGTAGACATTATTGTTGCTTTCATGGTTCAAGAGGAGTAACTCTTATTTTCCTTTTGTATCCAGAATTGCAGTGCACGATTCATTATAAACTAGCTTACAAACTGCCCTATCGGGCGTAATTTAAACTAGTTCCTGTGGAGGCCTCTTGGTTTGGCCACCTTCACAATAGCTAGGGAGGAGTAGATGCAATAAGCATCAATAAACTACAGAAGACCTAAAACTTGATCGCTGCATTTAAGTATTGAATTAATGTTTAAGCTTATCTTTTAAAA